GGAAAGGTGCTGCTGCTGTTGTGCAGGACTAGTGGGATGCTTCTGTGTAACGTATCCAATGCTTAAGCAGCAGCAGTGGTGGTCTGTGGTCCCATCTGTACTGTGCACAGTTCATACAAATCTACATTCAGCCCTCATTTGTGGTTGTCGCCCACAGTCGCAATGAACCAACTCTTTGTTTTTTATTTTTTTCATTCTCTTACCATTAGGAAAGTCACATTCTGCTGATGGGTGAGTTATAGTTGTGAATGTGAGCGAGAGCAAAGTACCAGCAGTGCGTTCATTTCCCTGTCACTGCTGAAAATTGCTTGCTCTTCGTCCAGCTCTCATTTTCAGGCCCCGATAGGTCGGTCGCTCAGTTAGCATGGTTAATGGTGCATTTAGCGCAGTGTGTAATTTTATTTCCAATTTCCATTCCGCTGCTTGCTTTTAGTTTGAAGTGACAAGAAGCCCCGATGGAGGGGCCCTGTGTGTGCAGATGGCATCTTCCTAATGGTCCTCAGGGTAATGATGGTTGAAATAGGCTCCTAACCAGGGGCTGAGGACTGTGGCCCTTGGGGGACATTCAGCAAGCCTATTTCCATTTTCATCATCAAGATAAAGTACTCAGAACATAGGCGTATGTACACACACACAGTTAGTCTGCACTTTGGATTGGTCAGAAGAAAAAAAAAAAAGAAGAACTTCAGCAGGACTGATGAAGACACTTTAAACCCTCAGGCGAATTTGAAGTTTGTAAATTGCTGTGCCCTATTTTGAGCTCAGTGGAACTTGAGGGCATAGATAATATATTTCGGGATAAATTTCGTTTCACATCATGTTCAAAATTGTCTGAAGCGCTTTAGACTTTAAGCACTTGTGCAACTGCTGATGTCTAAAGAAGGGTGGGTGCAGTGCCGTGCTTCAGGAAGCAACAGTTAATCGCCACTCCTCATCCGCAACATATGGGACTTTGTTTGGCCCTGTACCTGAGAGAGTCACCGGTCTGTGGCACCTCATATTTCATTTTGATAATGGCTGGTAACCCGTGGCAACTGTGGAGGCAATGAGAGCTTGGCTTCTTGAAGGGCATGGTTGAAAAAGGGAAGAGGGTGGGTTAAGAGGATGTGAAGTCCAAGGCTGCTTCCCCCCTGCTCTTTCCTGGTTGGTTGCGTTGTGTCCAGCGAAGGATGTGGGACCCCTGGGGAGTGAATTATTACCTGTCAGCCCCGCAGGCTCCCTGTCATCCATAATCCAGGGCTGACACAGCACAGGCTGGTCCAGGCTATCTGCTGGGACCACAAGGCCTTGGCCTCCAGGTCTGGCCTGGTTTGGCCGTAGCTGGTAAGAAATCGCATTAACATGTTGAATCAAGCGTTACAAATGCACAGTTTAAGACTATCATACAAACCTACCTTGTGCCTTTTGCATTATAGCCAGTGGGTCTTTGTTATTATTCTGACTAGTGTAGCTTTTGGGGGGATTTAAGTTGGTTCTTTTTTTTTTTTTTTTTTTCTTACTGAGCAGAAGGAGCTTCTTTACTATGCCTTGAAGTAAAGCTGTTGCTCATCATTTTGCTGATTCAGTGTACTGTATCTCCCAGGTTTATCAGCCTGTGTGGTTTTTAAAGTTCATTTACAGATTGCCAGTGGCACAGACATAATATATACTGCCAGCTGCATCTGTTTTCCTGTGATTGTCGCAGCTTGTTGAAAGTAAAGGTGAATACGGCACTGACAATTTTTGTCCGACAGGTCTAATCATTAACTGTTAGATGTGAATCCTTAGCAGGCATATTATTACTTTTGATTTCAAAAACAGGCGTGCAGCTTCATCCTGCAAGTGGTCCTGTGGTTAGTGTAGAACTGAAAATTATAGCCAAGCTGATGAGTGCGTAAGTTTTGGGAGGAAAACCTTTGAGTTCAGTGAAAGGCTAGAGGGAAGAAGTGAAGGAAGAAGAAAAAGATGGCGGGAGGCGGCAAACCACAAACTGGACAAGAGACAGGCCTTGGTGCTTCTATCCAGACTGGCTGTCTTCCTGAGGTTTTGTCAAGCTGTTCCTCAGAAACATTAACCCCTTGTCAAACATGGACTGGGTCTCTGTTTTCAAACTTGCCACAGCCACATGCAGTGCGGCAGGAACACTGGATGATTGTCTGGTAACACTTCATGAAGCATGGTGGATGCAGTCCAGCAATTGGAGTGGAAAATATAACCTGTGGCTCTCAATGTCAGCAAATTAGCTCAAATTCATATTTTTAGTCTAAATGGGGGTCTCATGTATCACAAAGGAGTCTTTGTCAAAAATCAGACCTCAGCTTTATTCTCCTTTGTTTCCTTTCTGTATTAAGTCATGCACTGAGGTTTCACTGTTTTCAGTGTGGTTTGTCTTTTTAAAAATGCTGAAGTCGAGTAATGATACTTGTAGTTTCATGCTTTTTGTCTCTCTCACTCCATATCAGTTGCCCTTTAGATGAAGGACAGAATACCCATCTTCAGATATCAGACACACTCACTCTTTGATTTGTGTAACAAGGAGGCTGTGTACGCTACCTACGGGGAAGCTTGGAAGCAGCATGCACCACAAAAAGGATTTCTTCTGAATGGAAAGAAAATGAATCCTCCAAAAATAAATTCTTGTCATTTTTCATGCATATTCTATGTGGAGAAGTAGCTAATGTAGTGCGCTGTGTGCGCTTGAAGTTTTTTATATAATATATAAAATTATTAGCTATTGAATAAGATTGAATAACAAAGATCCTCCAAAATGCCCATTCAGCTGTGTGATCCACAGAATCCAGTTTATTTTGAAAACCACAACAGTCAGTAGCAGAGCTCCCCAAAGATTAAGATAATGCAGACATCACAACAGGCTCTCTTACATCCACAGAGAGCAGAAATCCCCACATTTATGATTCCATTTCTTGCCTCTGTGTTTAATTGTAGGAAGCAACTGATATGAGGAAACACGTGTCTCTTTAAGTAGCCTCTGCTCATAAATACTAGCTCTTGATTCTTGAACTCTTAGTTGGGTCAGCTGGGGAATGGCAGAAGGGCCCAGTTTGTTGCTCCAAATGATCTCTTAATTACTTCATAATGTGGGCAGTCCTCCTGCATCATTGATTAGCCAGTCAGGCTTAACATGGAACAAATTGCTCCATGACTTTCCAGTCTCGCGGCCTTATTGCTTGTATTGGTAAAATTGGAAACTACAGTGAATGTTTTATGTTTTTTATAAACTAAATATTAATTTCATTCAAATGGTATATACTGTACACCAGAGACCTTATTAGTTGTTTAGCTATTTACCAATAGTTACCAAAAGTAACATCATAAATGCAGAACATTAAGGCAGTATGGGATCATC